ATAATCAGATTGGTTTTCACTGTTGTTTTGTCTTTGGGTTTATCTTCTCAGTTCCATGGAGCATAAGACTTTGATGAGAAGAGACAGATACAAGGTCAAATAGACTTGGACTCTCAAAATTGAGAGATGATTAATGCAAAAATAGAGAGTGGCCAAACTGAAGAAAAAAAAAGTTTGTGACAAATAACAAGATTTGGTGACACTGAAATAAGGAAAGAGTGTGTGGCTGGTTGGGCACACGGGAGTTAAAGGAGCAGAAGCCAGCTAAAGGGAATCAACCCAAACAACAATAACAAAAACCAGATAGGATGTCCAGGTGAATCACCGGCTAAGGAGCCAGGTAAAGAGGGAGAATTCAGGCAAAAGCAATCATGCAGAACCCTGGGAAACCAGATGAGAAGGACAGTTTTAGCAGAAAATATGTGGTGGACCTTAAATAAATTTTCTGAGCTGCTGAGAGGAAAGTATCTTCATCTGCTGGCCATATCACTTCAGGTTTGAGTGAGGTCAACATAGTAAAAGATTCCAGTCCAACAAGCTCATTTTGGCACTCATTGATTTTTAATGAAAATTTAGAATTAATCTAAACCCTCTTGAAATAAAATCAAGATTTTTCTAGGAGAATATTGATTAGTAATTCTCCTCCAACTAATATTCCTTCTGTTGATAACTCAGGTATTATGCAGAGACCCTTCATTAACTCTGAAATCATCAATGAATTATTTAGAAAGCTCCTTAAAAACCTAATAGTGTTGTCAGAGTGTTAATGCAGCTTTTCAAAGCATTGAAAAGCTGGATAGATACAAATGGAGGGAATGATTATGTATAAAGGATAAATGATGATGTGCCTTGTCTCTGATCTACAATTTTCCAAGAGGTCCCTTTTTATGTGTGACATTCTGTGACTTATTTTTTCCTATCCATGACATTCTGATGTTTTAAAATTTCCAGCTCTCCGGATTTGTTGTCAGCATGAATCAGGTTTTTTGATTTAATTAAGCCAGCTTATCTGTCATCCATCATAATTAATCCATTCTATCTTAATTACTTTTCCATTTCCAGGGCCAATCATCATATACTAACACAAATATAGCAAAATTTGAGTCATTTTTATGATAAGTAGCACAGAATGCCTGGCAGATATGTGTCTATGCTTCCTTCTCATTTTTTAGAAAGATGCATTGTAACTTAATAAAATATATTAATATTCTGCCAGAAACCAGAAATCAGTTTCAGTTCATTCACTCCCTCATGACACCAACTTTCTAAACTCTATTATTTATATTCCAGAATTCCACAGTCTTGATTCTATATTGATCCACTGACAAATTGTAACGTAGGGAAACTTTTCTCTGGAGGTAATTGCCAGGAAGCACTGCCTGTCAGCCCATGTTTGTCACTCTGCATGTGTGAGTTTTTTCATTCATTCATTCCTTAATTAAGCATGACTAATCACTGGAGATACAACAGTGAATGAGACAAAAGAGGTCCTTACTCCCTATTAACTCACATGGTAATGGAGGCAACAATAAACAAATTTCAACAATAGTTATGAAAATTTACAGCTGGTGATGTGATGAAGGGTGGTTTGGTAGCCTTTGTAGAGGGAGGCCTGAGAGGAGGCCACTCTGAGGAGGCCTTGAAGGGACACTTGAATGACAGGAGATGTCTTGAGATGATAACAGAACTAAGCATCCTAGAAGTCACAGCTGGAGTAAAAGGCACTAGTGGGATGTAATCCAAGAACCAAGTGCAGTCCAGCACTACTGGAATGACATTAACAGTGACGTGGTAAGAGATGCACTTAGTGGGAGAGTGAAAACATTCATTCAATGTAAGAAGTACCAATTTCATTCAATCCCAATGAAGAGCAATTGGAGCATTTTAAACAAGATATTAATGTGATCTGATTTGCATTTTTTAAAGATTTATTTATGCATACAAGAACTGGGTACAGGCCAGAGGTGTGGGGGGTGAGAGGATTCACCAGAGACAGAGTAGGGAACAGAACAGGCAGACTGACTGAAATACACTGCTGAGGGAAGCAGCGGATGAGTCAGGAGAGGTCTGCTGTGCCAAGTGGGTAGCTCCCTGGCTGGGGATCGAATTTGTGCTGCAGAGGCTGTGAATAGCTTCATAGGTTGTGTCTTAACCCCTTGTGCCACCAGGGAGGCCCCTGATTTGCATTTTTAAAAGATCAGTTTGCTGCTCTGTGGGGAAGGATTAAAGTGGACAGTATGGAGACTGGGAGATAGAAGTTGGGATGAAAGAGGATTTGGTTGGAGGGGAGGGATTGGGGTCAAAATAGGGGGTTGCAATTGTATGGGGAATATAAAAATAAAATTTATTTTTAAAAAAAGGAGTATAAAAAGCAATGTACAGTACAGAAGCTAATAAAAACTTAGGTATTCACCCAAAAATAAATAAATAAATAGATAGATAGATAAATAAATAAATAAAAGAGGATTTGGTTTGCATCCAGCAGCAGAGGGGAAAGAAGCAGACAAACTCATGATTAATTTAGGCAGAGCACGAGAACTTTGGATGGATTGGCTGTCGAAGGGCATAGTATAGAAAGGCAAGAATCCACCGTGGATAACTTAAGTATGTTAATTTCATAAATGTTGAGATGACAGTGTCCCTTAGCCATTCCATAAAGTTATCTAATGATAATTTTCAATGATTGATTCTTTACACAGTTGTGTATTTTCTATGGTTTGTGCCAACTAAAGCACACAACACTCTGGATTCAAATTGCATTCTCCAACTTAGTGGCCATAGGACCCTGTCAAGTTTCTTAGCCCCTCTGTGTTTCATTGCCCCCTTATAAAAAGTTGAATAGTTATTTTACCTATTTCTTAATGTTCTTGCCAGATGTAACTAAATACTTAGCACACTATTTGACTGTAGTAAGCACTCAGTAAATGTTAGTCGTTAGATACTATTTCTCTGCTTTCTCCTCAGAACCTAGTAATGAGTCACAGTAACATTTTTAAGGAAACAAAAAAATTCTCCTTATAGTCTCTCATAATTTTTCATTTATCAGTTTAATAGTATTTCTTCAAAATTTTCTAACAGTCCTCGTCTAAAACACACAGTGTCCACACAGTGTCCACATCTGGCAATATTTGTTTATTTTAAAAGTTAACTTTTTTGTTACTGAAGTTTTAAACCTCTGTGATTTTACAAGGATATAAAGAGATTGACTGTCATCCACTTTATTTTGAGTTTAGTATCTTGGGACCTTAAAGTGCAGCAAGGGAGCATGGTCATCAGATCCCAAGATTATATAAATCACATAAAAGCTGAACACACTTTGTCCACCGGTGTCATAACATCCATGGATGTTGTCAAATGTATCGCTCCTCATCTTGCTCCTCCTGCTTTTCCCTCTGCCATAGGTTCAATGTTGGAGAACACCCTACTCATTTGGATCACAGGGTAGTCTAGAAGATGTTGCACTGACTCTTTGGTTCCCATGTAAACACTGCTTCCTGTCATTCTGCCAGGCTGCAGCTGCATTTCACACTCTCAAGTTTGATTATTTGCATCTCAAAATAGTCTTGAGAACACCAGGAAAGTAGAGTAGGTCAACGCAGCATATGGTTGTGTTTGCATAGACAGATGTGCGTAAGGATAATAAGGAAAGTCTTTTAAGTTGGTTCCTTCCCTATAAATGTAGGATGTAAATGTTTTATAGTTCTAGCTGCGATTCTGGTACACTACCAAGTTGACCTTTTTATTCACAACCTAATGTTTTAAACCATTTCTCATCTTTCACTCAAGTTAGTTGAGCAAGGAATAGCCGTTAGTCATAAGATTCTTCCAGGGTCACCATTGAAGTGGCGTGTCGCTCAGCACAGGTGACTTTGGAATCCATTCTCTGCAGAATATTGTCGCCTCGTGGGGCAGCAGCATTGGAAGCAGCGTGGGGTGAGGGAAAGATTATTCAAAGTGTTTGTGAAGCAGTGAGAGAAGTCTAGAGGGGCTACACCGGGAGTAACATGCAGCCCCATCCACAGGCAGTCTGGTATTTATTAGCATTGAGTGCAAAGGTGGGGCAAGGACATAATGTCCATGGGTGATGGGATTAGGGTTGGAAGCTAGGGTGGAGTGACCTGGGGCTATTGCCTGGGGGGCGCCATTATTCCTGCCAGTCTAAGCATATTATCTCTATTCTAATATCTGCCTCTTGTTACCAGCAGATACTGGTTTCCCAGCATGTTCCACACTCCAGGACTTTTGGCCTTGGTGAGAGGCCCCTGCATGACCCTGAGCTTGGCTGACAGGCAGGAGCTCTGGGCACTAAGACAATAGCCCTGAGAATAAGGAGGGCAAGGGATCCCACAAAATGTTCTTTAGCATATATCCTGCAGTTCTTCTGGTTCACGGTTCTGTGTTTCTCTTTGTATTTTTTAATGACATGAATAATAGAAAAAATATTTTATGTTGAAGCTTTTATGTGGTGTGGCACATGTAAGGCAACTCCCTTCTCTGATGTAATGGCAAGTCCTGAAGCCCAGGGTGAGAGACTTGACTCTGAAACCGCAAGTCAGACAAGTCTGTGGTGTGTGGAATTACTGGTTTAGGATGGTTGCTCCTGCAATTTGTCTTTCCTGACTACTGGGCTGATTTCTGGTCTTCTCTCTCTCTCTCCCCTTTCTCATACACACACACACACATGCACGCACACACACACACACGCACGCACACGCACATACACGTGCGCACGCAGTCAAATATCCTACTGTTGTAAAGCAACCCCGATACAAAACGGGGTGCCTGACTGTGGGTCCTCACCCACGTGCTTAAAGTCTTGATGGCTTTAGTCTGGACTGGGAGTGGAGTCCACAAAGCCTGTATGGGATTAGCTCAGGACATCATTTCTCCCTAACACTACGCCACTCCCCATGTTGATTTTATTTGTGAGCTTTCATGTTTCCATCAACATGGACATGTGGACATAACTCACTTCCTATGTGTTTGTTTTTCTACTACAGACACAGGAGCAGAAAGACAGGCACTGAAAGAAAATGTGTATCCTAAATTGCGAGAATTCTGCAGAGAAAACTATGGATTAGAATTCCAGGTAACTGATAATCTTTTTAATTTATGTCTTCTAACTACTGTTCGTGTTTATTTCTTGTCACAACGCAGGTATTATAAGACAGTTACAATTTTCATTTATTTAAACGTGGGTTAAAAAGAACATTGGAAAATGGAAATGAAATATTTAATCATCTTTGGGGTTTTATACGCTTATACCCAGCTTCTTGGACTCTGTATAATATTGGCTCATATTTTCCTTTTTTTTTTTTAAGATTTATTTATTTATCCAAGAACCGGGGTACAGGCCAGATGCGCGGGAGGGTGAGAGGATTCACCAGAGACAGAACGAGGAACAGAACAGGCAGAGTGACGAAATACACTGCTGAGGGGAGCAGCGGGAGAGACAGGAGAGGTCTGCCGTGCCATGTGGGATTCTCACCAGCTGGCCAGCCGGAATCAAACCCACGCTGCAGAGGCTGCGGACAGCTTCACAGTGCAATGCTCAACCGCCTGCACCACCAGGGAGGCCCTGGCTCATATTTTTCTTTAAATCATTATTTGTTCTTTTAACATTCTCTACTGTTATTTAAAAAGGGGGGGAGTGAAGGCTGATGAGCACCTGTCTTTAAGTAATTGTCTCTGAAAATGTTTGGCATCTAAAAATTGGGACCAGCTTTCTTAAAATATTCCCTTTCAGCAGCCCTGCCAAATCTTTACCTTTTTCTTTTTATTTGCATTATAGAATGTTCTTTTTCCTAAGCATTTTAGGGATTTACCATTTACTTCCAAAAAATTATATAAGTGTTTCAGGAGAGAGTGACTGTGTCATTGCTAAAGTTCGTCAACACCCTGGCATTTGTAGACACCACTGATTTTTGCCACCTAACAAAAGTTTTCGAAACGTTGTGATATCTTGGACATCCAAAAATTGAAAAAACAAATGGTTCTTGCAACAGGTAACATTATTTATTCAGTATTAATTTCATTTACAATGGAAACCGTAACTCTTCAGTGCCTCTTAACTATGTTACTTACATGGCACTGTCCTGGAGACTCATGGTATAAGTGCAAATGCACTGCTGCCAGTGGAAGGAAACTTCACCCTTTGTTTTTTCCCCCTGGATAACTATTTCACTTGGTATAGCTCATGATGTCTTCAAATATGTGTAAAATAATAATCTCAAAGTGACCCTCATTACATAGTGTCAGTCAGCAACAGGCTATTAGACACACATACTGAATAGTCAGTTACAGGTCACCATTCACTTCATAAATTGTGAACCTAAATTAAATTCTTTGTCATGAGTAACTTTCTGAAGATACCTTCAGAAATGTGTTCCTACTGATAGCAGGGTCTCAGTTGTTACAGAACATCCAATCCATCAAGAGTCCCAAAGACTTACGCCTCCCTTGGGCACCCAGTGACCAGAGAGGAAGAACATGCCCAGGTGTATGAACCCCATCTCTGATTAACTTTGGGTTTGCACCATTTTCGCCAGTCTAGTGAAGAAGTAAGGAAGCTATGGAATAATCTCTGTTAAACATGATATTGATTAGAATTAGCTGAAGGGAAAAGATAAATGTTTATTTTCTAAATTATAGGTAGGCACAGGAAGACAGATAAAGCCAAAGGAGAATTGCAAAGGCAAGAACCATAAAATAAATGGAAGCAGAGATCATTCTAGACAGGGGCATTGAGTCAGCTGATGAGAAGCTGGATAGCAGTGGAAATAGCACGGAGCAAAGAAGACAAGGGACTGAGTCCTAGCTCTCTACTGAGTTACTTAACCTGCTAGTACTTTATTTCAGTGTCTGAAATGGGGGTGATGACAGCTTACATGTCTCAAGTTGTGGACAAAATAAAATATGCAAGGTTCTGTTTGCTTCCCAGCTTCTAACAAGAACTCAAATTATAATATCTGAATCTGAAAGAAAATACTTTCTAGTGTTGTCTTTTCTGGCAGGTGGATTATAACGCTCCCTGAGGATATGTATTCTAGAGAGACAATTCTCTTTTCTTGATGGCAACAAAATATGGTGCCAGCAACTTCATGAAAAACCCTATTTACCATGGAGTATTCTGGATTCTTTCTTTGGTTGTGCATTGAACCTTGGAGAAATGAATTACTAGAGTTACTTAAATATTCCAGTCTATTTCATGCTGCCTTGCCTTTGCTAATGGTGTTTCCTACAGTGTTTCCCAGTCTGGTTCTTCCCTGCCTTACCTCTAGGTCTTACCCATTCTTAAGACTCTGCCTATCTACTCTGATGTTACGGCTCTCACCTCCTTGTTGCTGTTGTGCATCTATGGCCTTGCACACACGCAGCCCATCCCATCTAAGAATTTCTTGTCTTGGCTCTTCCATGTGTTCATCAGGAAAGCTCAGCCCCTCATCTTCCTATGGCTTATTGCTTACTGCCCTCCAGATCTCCAAAAAGACTAGAGAGGCTTTCTTATCCACCCAGTTTAATCACATAATGGGCCTCCCTAGTGGCGCAAGGGGTTAAGCACTGCACTATGAAGCAATCAACAGCCTCTGCAACGCAAGTTCAATCCCTGGCCAGCCAGGGAGCAACCCACATGGTGCAGCAGACATTTCCTGACTCACCCACTGCTCCCCTCAGCAGTGTATTTCAGTCATTCTGCCTGTTCTGTTCCCCCACTCTGTCTCTGGTGAATCCTCTCACCCCCTCCTCCACCCATCTCTGGCCTGTACCCCAGTTCTTATATGCATAAATAAATCTTTTTTAAAAATAATCATATAAATGCTCTTTTTTAAACTCACCCCATTTCAGTTCTTTGCATTGCCTGTATCAGACTGTTTCTGAGTTTGAGTCCTCACTTTGATTATCTAATATAAACTCTTTGTCTAACTATCTTTGAGACTATTTTCAGTTAACATGTCTTAAGATTTGGGCTTTATTTGCAAACAATAGAGACATTGCTGGAAACAAAAGCCCCTCTTACTTTCCAATCTTAAATAAGCAGCCCTTGTCTTAATGGTACCATTTGCTATCTTTTGAGCATTGCTAAAATACAGGTTAAATATTTTCACCATATGTCCTTGCATTTCAGTGTAGTAAGTGGGCAGCAGAGCTGGAAATCCCAGGTACTGGGCCCACCCTTCTCTCTGACTGGCAGGTGTGGGTCCCTGGATGTGTAGAGAAGTGTGAGGCTGAAGCCTGAATTCTGCCAGCAGGAAGACCTTGTCCTACCTGCTTTCTTCCTCACAATGACAAGGGACAGAAGCTCATCCTTGGCAAGGGTGCCTCCTGAGTCCCCTTTCATCTGGAATTTGCTCTTTTCTCCAGTTGGGGTTCTGCCTCTTCATGCTTTCTTTGGTAGTGCAGTCCCAGACCTGTCCACCTGTTTTTTACTCTGTAGACCCCAACTAGTTATCTCTACCTGAGGTCAGTGCCTGTGTGTGAGTGACCCGGATATCATCTCCAGCTCTTCCACTCCATAGTTGCGTGATTTTAACTGTCTAATAAAGATGTTGGTATGGCTAACATAGAACCAATCATTCTTCCCTTTTCCGAGTTTCTCAACTGTTATTTTCTAGGATTCTGGAATTTAAAATCTTGGCTCGTTCTTTATTCTTCCAACCAGGCACCAAAGCTGCTGCTCTTCTCATTGATTCACTGCCACAGTGTTTCTTAGAAGTTCTCCTTTTACTTGCATTTCTACTTTCTTTCCTTTTCACAAGTGACATCATTGCTCAGCTTCCCATTTCTTTGTTCAAGCTCCCTTTTCTTAATGCTGAGTGACACCCCATCCTGGGTGTTTTGTGGGTTCTGGTCCAGACTGTACACAGCTGCTCAAGTAATCTTCCTTGAACAATACCAGATTTCATTCATTCTAAGATGCGTGTTTTTTCTCATTTTTATGTCTCAAAAATCAGGGTCTGTCTTCCAAATGAATGGTGTGTCATCATGCAATTGGCAGTGCATTTCCTTTTTAGTAAAACCTACACTATCCGAGCAGCCTGCAACTGATAATATTATAGATATTCAGTAATATGCAGCATGTTATGTGGTTTATGGGATATATTAGAAATAGTATAAATTTTTCTATTAGAAGGATTAGGACTCAAATTCTGTGTCTGCACACTACCAGTCTTGCTGCTCTCTGCAAATTGCTTACTGTGGTTGACAATTCTGCAAAATGAATGGGATAATGTTTATGTTTTAGGACTCAGGAAAATTCAGTGAGACAAAATGGAAGCCCCTCAACTAGTGTTAATTTCCCTCTGTCTTCCACCTGTTAAATTCTTTTTCCTAGTCATGAACCCCACGTAATGAAATTATTCGTGTGCAATTTTTTTTTTTGCCTTTCTGAGTACAACAGAAACCTTTGACCAACGGCACCTGTCTGAGAGATGCTTAGTGTATGTGCAGAAGGAGTGGGAAAAGTATTTAGGAAACACTCATTGTAACACATAAGAAAGAATTACGCAGCAGGACAAAAATCTTGCCGATGAGTCTATCAGCTGGAGAGAAAATTTCTCTAATTTTTAAATCACTTCTTTAATATAGCAGGCAATCCCATAGGACTCTAACCTAGAGATTTAATATGCAAAGAAAGGGGCCACGTTTGTCAATAAGGCAAAAGCAGCCCTATCCCATGTTGTGTCTGGGAGAATGCTGCCAGAAAAGAAAGAAAAGGGGAGGAGAAAAAAAAAAAAGGATACGGAGTGTGAAGAGAGATGAGAACAGAAGGAGAGAGGGAGAAGAGAGAGGAAAGGGAATAGATCTATGAAGGAGCTTCCCATTGCTTTTTTCTGGGTTTTGGCTTGGAAATGGAGAATTGGATTAGATGGGGAAAATAATTGATTTATCAGTAACACTGATGGCAACTTATCTCTGCTGTCTACTTAGGACTCTGGAAAGAGATCACTTTACAACAATCAACCCATTGCCACCAGCATACACAGACACTGACATGTCATGGTCTTGGCAGCCAGGGACCACGAGGTTTGATTTTCCCAAGCTGCCCTCAGTGACTTTGTGTGACAAATACTGAGTTAACAGCCACTGTTG